ACCTACCCTTAGCTAACACTTCCATCACATCACATCACATCACATAATTACCATTTCTTTTCTGTGGTGAGAACATTTAAGATCTACTCTCTTAGCAACTTTCAAGTACGTGTTACAGTATTGTTAGCTATAATCTGTACAATAGATCTCCAGAACTTATTCATCTTTAAACTGGAAGTTTGTACCATTTGACCAACATCTCCCCAAACCAACCCCTCCACACCAGCCCCTGGTAACCACCTCTACTCTCTGTTTCTACAAATTTGGCTTTTTTAGATTCCACATAAAGTGATATTATACAGTATTTGTCTTTCTCTGTCTGACTTATTTCACTTAGCATAATGCCCTCAAGTATCATTCAAGTTGTTGCAAATGGCAGGATTTCCTTCTTTCTCGTGGCCAAGTACTATTCCATTGTATACATATATACCACATCTTCTTTATCCATTGATCCATCAACAGACACAGGTTGTTTCCATATTTTGGCTATTTGTGTCACAGCTGCTGCTTACACCGTGCCTGGGTCACACCTACTCCAGGGAATTTGTCACAGGCAAAAATCTCCTCTAAAGTTCCCACTCCAAGCCTTTCAACCCAACCAACCACTGCTGAGCTGCCAATTCTTTCTCCCAGAGTCTCCTCCCATTCCCTACTCTCAATCCACCACCAACTCCAAAGTTCCCTTCAGACGAAGCTCCCACCTCCCCATCCTCGATACATGCCTCCTGGGTGCCTCCTCATCTGATGTCACCTTCCTCTATTTGTCACCTCATTGTCATCCCACGTTCACTTCTAATGTTGAAACACTGAAATGCTGAGTGATTGTTGTATAACTCCTCACAGGCACAGTGCTACACTCTTAGCAAGTGCTTTTAAAAAAACACAAAACTCTGTTGAATAATTGTAATTTACATCTCTGGGCACCTGAGCCTGGCACAGAACCTACCAGAGGGCAAGCAGGATCCTCGTCTCTTGCAGAACCTCTTTGTTAAGGGGAATCATGGGCAAGAGAGATGAACACACCTAGAATTCATTCTCTGCTCCTACAGCCAGCACCTACTCTGTGCCAGACCCTGCCCTAGAGCCAGGCATGAAACAGCAAAGATAGCAGACAAGGTAAGACCTCAACAATTCCAGGTCCTGAGGTGGCAACAGGCATAAACAAGCAAGTACTGACATCCATAAAGAATGACAGCCTTAGATAGCCCATGACCAGAAAAGATGATGTTGGTCACAATTTATGGAGGACGTTTGGGAGTGTCTTTCTGGAGGGTGATGTGTGAAAGCATCAGAGGAACCACCCAGTTAGAGAAGGGAGGGTGGGTGGGTGTGGAAGGAGTCATGAGGGGGATGGGCCCCAAGAAGGTTAAACAAGGAAATATGTATTTACACATTGTGCTAAACACTGAACAAGAAACTAAAAATGGAAGGGAGTAGAAAAGAGAGGTTTATCAAGGAACGGGCTTTTCAGAAACAGAAATTTCATCTGAAACATCAAGGATTAGATGGAGCATCCATTTAAAGACAGGAAAAGAGTACCACAGAAAGAATGGCACGTGCAAAGGTCCTGAGGCAGGAAGGAGCTGGCCTGTTTGCGGAAGCCAAAGGAGCTAGGGAGTCTGGAGTAGGGTGGGGAGTGGACTCCAGAATGAGGGCAGACAGACAGGCACTGGGCAGGCACATGGGCCAGTGACAGCTTAGTCATGCACCTTGAACTTTATTCAGAATGTACTAGAGGTACTAAAGGATGACAACTGGGGTGAGGAAGATGGCCATATTTATATTTTCTTAACGACTCTCCTTTTCCCAGGTCATCGACGACCTCCACATGGCTGACATCACTGGACACTCCCGAGGCCTCACATCATCTAGCCCATCAGTATCATTTCTCATAGGGGACCCTCCCTCACCCTAGAAACAGTCTTCCCTTGGCTTCCGCCCTCCTGGCTTTCCTCCTACCCCACCAGCCACTCTCTCGTCCCCCTGCTACATCTCCACAACGGCTGACACGTGGGGCTCTGTGGCTCACAAGTTGCTTCTCCTTCTTGCTCTCACTAATTATTTGGCCTCTTATGCCCACAAAGCCCATTCTTTTACCAGCTTCCCTCACAGGCAAGCATTCCAATGTTCCGTGTGTGCCTTTTTGTTTGTATGTGTTCTTACAGAATGTGTATTATTTTCTAAGAAAAATATTTTATTGCATAGCCAAGGCAGTGGCTTCTCAAGGCATAGATCCTGTCTCAAGACCGTGGGACCCTCCTGCCTTGCGCCTTTGGCCTTCTCCTCCTCTCTCTGCCACACTCTGAGGTCTTGGCTGCACTCCTGCCCTTCCTGGCCCCCAGACCAGCCTCTATCACGTCAGGGTCTCACCAGAGCCTCCTCACACAGGCTTTCCCCTCAGCCTGTACCTGGATGCTTCTCCAGCGCTGACTCCTTTCCCCACCACCTGCTTGTAGGCAACAGCGCAGCCCCACCCCCACCTGCTCCAAGCCTTCACAACTGCCTCTCTGGGGCTACTGCAGGGACAATCTTCCCAGGAAAACAAGCATGTTAATTCTCCCCACCAAATGTGTGACAGGGAGATGTGCCCCCATTTAAAGGTCTGGCTCGTCTCTGCATTCCAAACCCTTCATCCACTCCCTTCATTTGATTTCCCTCATTCAACCACTCGACCAACACTGCCAGCATGCCCAGCTCAGGCCAGTCATACTGCGACAACACGCAGGATAGGGCAGCAGAATGAGACACAGGTGAGGACGAAGCGCAGCAACGCCTGGGGATGGAGAGAGGACACCTGAAGACAGGCACTCGCCAGCCAGGTGCCCTCCATCACATCCCTATCCCTCTTTGGGCCTCGGGGTTCCTGCCTGTCATATGGGTTTCCTAGGAATGTCTGCCTTGGTGGAGAGCAGTGCGGAATGAACACAGTAATGCAGCGACTCAGCACAGTTGCTGGCGGACGAGAAAACCATACTCCATGGCGGATGAGCCCCACGTGGATGGCAATGGGGCCCAGGTGGGGACGCTGGGGAGAGGACACGCTTTGCGAGGGGAGGGGGAACCAGGCAATGCTACCTGGAGGGGAGGTTTCTGGGCTTGCAGACAAGAACAGCATAGAGTAGTTGCTCCTTGGGTTTTTATTCACTGTCGTAGCCAGAACTGTTAACAAATCAAGGCTCTAGTTTCATATTAACAATGTTGACAAAAAAAAATCTTGTTTATTTAGGGGGTGGGGAAAGTATAAAATTCTGAATTTTCACTTCAAATACGGCCTGAGTAAGAGGAACTCAGGCCCCTGCAGACCTGTGCCTCCCTCTCCTGAGAGGAACTAAGACTGCTGGGCAACCAGGAGCCCCCCACAGAGACCAGAGCTTCCCATGAGCACTGAGTTACGGTCACTCGGCTTCTCTCTCTGCCCTGAAGAGCTGCCTTTCCCCTAATGGAAAGAGAAAGCCTCGAGCCCAGACACAGGCTGTCTGCTCCCCAGGTGGGGCTGCCTGTCCCCACCAGAACCAGCACTGTGTACCCAGAAAGAAGCCCAGTGCCCACTGTTCTCCTGGGGCCCATGGAGCCCCCACTCGAGCCTGTGGTCCGGGGAACCGGGGAGAAGGGACAGATGCAGCTGTCAGAGGCCCAGCTGAGGACAGCTGGGGCAGGTGTGCGGGCCATGGATGGAAAGGGAGACCACTCAGGCCCCTCAGACACAGACCTGCCCCCCAGAAGCCACCTGGCAAATGCAGAAATCTCCTCACGACACCTCGTCCACCACTAGGAGTTAAGCCCTGCCACTTGGGTCACTATTTAACCTTAGTTATTTGGGCCCTAGGACTGGCACCTCTGGAAGGGGGGTCTGAGGGCTCATTCGCTTACTCCAACAGCACTCAGACTGCAGGGGGCACAAAGGTGGACAAAGAGAGAGAAAGACTTGAAGACTCCAGTCCCTTGTTTAAGGGGCTGGCTTCTGGTGCTAGGACAAGCTGCTTCTCCAGCTCCAGGAAGCCCAGACGGGACTGGACTGCACTTGGACCACTGACCACAGAGGTCTATAAACCCAAGCCCTGCATGTCCCTGAGAGGTCAGGGGCTGGGATTATATGGTTGCTTCTTAATTCCAAACTCCAGCCCAGTCCCATGGGCCAGGATAACCAGCTCACCCTGAAGTGTCTTCTGAGAAAAAAGAGGCACGAGAAACAGTCCTTTGCAGATCACTGCCCAGGACTCACCACGAGCAACCTCAGGCCTTCAGAACAGAGGGCACAGCCTCACCTCACTCTGCTTCATCATTGCTCGGGTCTGTTCTGGCATGAGATGGGGCTGGGGAGGGGTGCACGGGCTCCCGAGGCAAAGCTCCTGGACTCACGTCTAGGCTCTGACACACGAGGCCGTGGGACCTTGTGAAAGTTCCCTAGATGATCTGTGCCTCGGTTTTCCCATTTATAAATGGGATAACACAAGGTGTTGCCTCATTGTGTTGCACTGAAGAAAAAATGAGATCAGATTAGCTCAGCCCCTGCACAGTGTAGACGCTCAGGTGACATCAGCCCATCCTTATCCCTACAAAAGCCCAGCCTGGGAGGGCCTGTGTGGAGGCCCTCGCTCAGGAGCTGGCCAGACTGAAGGGAAGGCCGGGCACACCCAGGCCCACACGGAGCCTCGAGGTCTCTGAGATGCACTAACCTAGCACACGCCAGGGGAGGAAGGAGCTGGTCAGGGGCCAGGCTGCGGGGAGAGGTGAGTGAGGGGATTTACTCCTGACAGTGGTGGTTTTTCCACTAAATGAACATTGCCTTGGTCTAAGGGAGAGGCAGGGGAACATCATGACTATCGTCACGAGGAGATCTGACCCTCAGCACCAGGAAGACCCCTGCCTCCTGCCATTCATGATGATGACAGGATACAGCTAAATCCAAGGGGCCTAGCTGTGCCGGGGAGGGGGTTGGGGGGAAGGCACTCCCTGGGTGGCAGTCAGGGCCCAGGGTCTGGGAGATCTGAGAGTCGGGATCCTGGAGAATAGGAATGATGGCCACCCAGAGGCCTCCGGGGCGAGGCCAGGGCCAGCTCCACCAGCTCTAAAACACAAGCTTCTTGGGAACTTCCCACAGGAACTCGCTCCTTCCGAAATGGCCGTAGCAGGCTGTCCTCTGGTAGATGGGCCTCTTCAGATCCAACTCCCTGTACGTTCGGCAGAAGACAGGGTCATCGTACATGGAAAAGCAGCAGCATTTCTTCCTCTGAATTCCAGCACAGGAGTAATTAACAGGCTACGACAGTCTTGTGTGGAGTGTCACCACTCACAGAGCGACTTCCCACATATTTCCTGTCTACGCCACACCACATCTTACGAGGTGACTGTCACGGGCCTTAGGAAGCAGGTTCAGAGGTTCAGGGACAGCCCAATCCCACAGACGCGCCCAGAACCAGGGTGTGAACTTGGTCCTTGCTGTGCCGTTCTCCTCTCCACTCCTCTGACCAGGCCCGGGCCAACATCAACACAGCCAAGCCCGAGAGAGCAGGGATGGCACGAGAAACGAGAGCAGAGGGGCCGGGCTGGCCGACTCAATGTTCAGGCATTCCGCCTTATAATTATTTTTATAATAATTATAAAAGGTCCCCCAACCTCTTCAAAGATGGCCCACTGGAGTTGGTATCTGCTGGGACAGCCTCCTTTAACCTAAAAACCAGACACGCTGCCTTTGGGGTGTGCACTGTGCTGGGCCGAGAGCTTGAAGACCCTCTCCTTCTGGGAGGCTGGAAATCCTTCTTTCTGATTCCCTTTCAATTGAGCTGGGCCTCTGGGTGAGGGGGAAGGAAGGTCCCACCTAACAGCAGTGGGACGGCACTTTACCTGACAATGACACCAGGCCGAAGGTCAAAGTTGTTATTCACCACATCCAGCAGCTCCCTCTCTGTCTTCTCAGAGGTTCCGTAGGTGAAGATGGAAATAGACAGTGGCTCAGCCACACTAATGGCATAGGAAACCTTCCGGAAGAGACCAGGGTCAGAAACAGCAGCCTCCGTGCAGGGGTCCCTCCTCACAGAAACCTCGATGTCCTCAGGAAGGGGCAGCTGGAACCACACATCTCTTGCCCAACATGCTCCCCACCTTGTCTGCCTAGACTCCGTGCCACCTTCATGGCAGGCAGTCGTGTCCCTGCCCCGCCCCTGAAGACTTTTGTTTTCCCTCTCCCAGATGTTCAGGGCACTGGCCACAGCGCCCAACACGACACACAGTCACATCCTTTGGCAAAGTGTGTGCCCTTCCCCCAGGCCGGCGTGTCCTTACTTGGGGCAGAGTTGGCAGTGTCCGACCCACCTGCACGAGCACTCTCCGGCAGAGCCCAGCTTTCACCAGGGACTTGGCCACCCAGCGGGCAGCGTAAGCCGCCGAGCGGTCCACCTTGGTGTAGTCCTTCCCGGAGAAGGCCCCACCACCATGCGCTCCCCAGCCGCCATAGGTGTCCACGATAATCTTACGGCCAGTGACGCCAGCATCCCCCTACAGAGGGAGAGGGAGGAGATGAGAACCAGAGCCCCAGATGGCTGGAGGAGGGGCAGCTGGAGTACTGTGATGGCCGCTGGACTACAACTTGTAAAGGGTGCCCTGAAGCTGCGTGGGGGTGTTTTCCAAAGGCCCCATGGCTAGGAGTCAGCCAGAAACCCTGGGCTCTAATCACAGTTCAGTCCCTGACCAGCTACAGAAGTTGGATGATGTGTCAGAGCCTCATCAAAAGTGTAGAAGATGGGCCGCTGGGGTCGCAGCCACTCCTCATGCCTCTGTGTCATGAGTTGATCGCAATGGAGAAATCCAACTGCAGGAGGAAACTGGGCTGCAATAAGTACACATGGGCTGTGGCCCAGCTGGTGCCGTCCGGCAGACGTCACGGTGCCGTTTCCTCAGGTGTCTGCTCTGCGCACCACCCATCAATAAAGATGTTGGGGAGGTGCTCTATGTTAAATGATTTGAGGAAAGTGCATATTGTATCCCCTCTTAGAGACGCACAATTCACAGTAGTATGTTGAGGTTTTGGGAAGTCCTGTAGGAAAAAACAACAAGCTTTCTTTCACCCCGGGTTTCTGCACTACATGCGGACAAAGGACCCGTTATGGGGGCTGTGCTTTGTGGCAACACACCCACAGCTGAGGCCCCCAGGCAGTGGTCGGCAGCCTCTCAGAGGTGCTCTGCCCATCTCCATGTCCTCATTCCTGTGGTGCAGGAGGAAGGGGGCAGCTGGTGTCCTCACCTAAAACACTGCCCCGCCTCGGCGCCCACCAGAGTGGATGGTAACCTGCGGCAGAGGCCTGGTGAGCACCGCCGGGGGAAGGTCAGTCATCTGCAGTGAGAGTTAGCACGGTCGCAGGAGCAGCAGCAGCTGGGGCAAGTGTGAGGTGTCTGGAGTGAGAGGGCCAGGCGGTACTCCGTGGAGGATCCTGGGGACATGTCCCCAGTCCTTCGTGTGCTGATGGATACACAGCAGGCCCCACAGAGAGTGAGCTCACTTTTGCCCAGGCCCAGGCCTGGCTGCGTCACACAAAGCTACCTCCTGCAGTCCTTGTGCTCAGGGAGGTGAGCAAGCCCGGTAACAAAGACGAATCAGGGCCTCATTCAGAGACGAGGGCGCACCTGGGGACCTCCGATGACAAACCGCCCGCTGGGCTGCAGGTGGTAAACGGTGTCCTCATCCAGGTACTTGGCAGGCACCACGGCCCTGATCACCTGCTCCTTCAGGGCCCTGCGCATGTCCTCCAGCAGGATGCCCTCGTCATGCTGCACAGAGATGACGATGGTGTGGACACGCACAGGGATGACGGCGCCGTTGTCCTGTACGTACTGAACTGTCACCTGTCGGTCAGAAGGGCAGGTGGAGACAGTATGGGGCCCTGTCCCGAGCTGAGGACACGTCGCTGCCAGGCACAGATACCCAGGAGGCAGGCAGGGCTCCCAGGAGCCAAGGGGGCCCTCCATCCTCAAAGGACCTTCAGGAAATTTAATCTAACACATCCTGGTATTTGGATAATTGCCCAGAGTTATGGGATGACTGGGAACGAGGCATAGGCTATTCCCACCTGTGACCACAATTAGTGCCACCTGGAGCCTCAGCTTTGCTAGAATTTCCTCTCTGTGACCCACTAGGTTCCTCTCCTTCTATCTCAGAGGGTTCTGCGTGACAACAAATATCCCCCTGGCCAAAGCCCTCTCTTGACCCCCCCATAGCCCAGGGCCAGGGCAGCCCAGGCCCCCACCAAGGAACACAGGGGTCGACAGGCCACACATCAGCTGCTCCAGCCCCAGGGGAGGAGCTCTGGAAGCCTACGGGGCTGGCAGACTCGCCTGCTGTGGGGACCGACTGAGAGTGACTCCGGCCAGGGCGGCTGAGATGGATGGAGCTGTGAGCTCTCGATCACCAGCCTCTGGGTGTTTTGGCAAAAGAAAGGAAAAGCAGAGAGCACCAGAGAGAAGGAAGCTGCCTCAGGGGCCTTGCAGGTCAGACCACAGGCACAGATCTAATACTCATTTCCACCATGAGGGTCACTCCTGGGTCCATTCGATGCATTATCAACTCATATCTAAGCAAGATGCATTATCATCTCCACTTTACAAATGAGAAAACAGGCCTACAAGAAGCCAAATAACTTGCCTGAAGTCACACGCCAGTCAGTGAAAAGCCAAGGAACCCAACCCTACTCTGCCCGACCCGGGAGCTCATGTCACCCCACACAGCACAGGCAGAATCACCGCCACCTGTCCCGTCCTGACATATCAGTGCACAACAGAGCCCGAGGCCACAGCCTGCTCTGACTGGTCCTGAAGGAGCCCGGGCGCCCTGGGCTCGCAGAGCGAGAGGGAAGAGACGGTGAGGATGGAGGATGAGGCTGGGAAAGAAACCGGCACTGACAGCACGAACTGCACGCTGGAAACCAGCCGAAAAGCTCTGAGAAGCTGTCACTAGCCCTGTTGTAAAGACACCTTGATCAAGATCACACAGCTAGAAAAGCTGGACTCTGACCTGGAGTCGTCTGGCCTGGTAGCTGGGGCTCTGCCCAGCAGAAGGCTGTCACCCAAGACCCTGAGGAATATGCTAGAACCACAGGCCCACTGCTACCCAAAGCATGTGGACCCACAAAAGCAGTGGCCAGAGGGGCTATGGGGTATGGGGCCATGGGGTGTGGGGCCTGCAGGAGTGCAGCTATGCCAGCTAGCCTGGGAGGGACACTGGCCGGCAGGCACAGCACTGCTCCCTGCCCCAGGGCCTCAACAGGACCAATGGGCAGCAAAAAGTACCTCCCTGGGGCTGTGCCTACAGCAAGACCTCTGCCTGCCCAAGGCCCTTCAGATGTCCATCAACACTTGACTTGCTTCAAACTCCTGCCCTGTGTCCTGCCTGGTCTGAAGAGCAATAGGGTGGGGTCCATAAGAAAGAAGAGAAAGAACCCTACCCACACGATGCCTGATCCTAGTGAGACAGGCAGATGGACACCACCATCTGTGAACTGAGAGCAACCCTTCACTGCCAGACTGTGCATACGGGCCCTGTGAGAGGGAGCTGGAGTCGGGGCGGAGGGGTCCCAGGAGGGGAGGCCCTATGCCAGCTCTAGGACCAGATCTGCTACATGCAGCCTCAGGAGAAGGCTCACATCCTAAGGAGCCGCTGAGGCCCGCCTCCACTGCCCCCTGCTCCCCAGAGCTCCCACTCTGCTGCAAACCCCCAGCAGTGTCCTTGTGGAACCACAGAACTGTGGCAGAGCAAAGGGCCCCAGGCATCGCTCTTATCTCATCATGTCAGCAAGAGGTGGGGAAAAGATACACCATGGAAAACACAACTCTGACCAGGTACAAAAATAGCCATCCATACAGCCACTCAATTCTCAGTATCAGCAGCAAGAATTTGTTCAGGTGGAAAGATTCAAACTGTTCACAGCCAACACTCTGCTTAGATGATGAAAATCCTTTACCGACAGGGCATAGAGAAGAAGGCCTAGAAATTGCTCCTGGTACAGTGCTCCTCACAGCAAGGCAGCCTCGCGAGGGGCCCAGGGAGAGCTCGTCAGCAGACCCACACCCGCGCCCTCTCCAGCACCAGCTGGCTCAGGGCCCACCTGCGGCAGGGTAGTGAGGCAGACTTTGGTATCCAAAATCCCATTTTTAAGAGAATTCAGTATATCCTCACAGGAAGGAAAACCCTGCAAGAGCCTATCCCCACCACTCCTCTCATCCCCGCCGCTATCTAGACTTGGAAACCTTCTATTACTGAGCAAGACGAAGGAGGCCTTTCCCACGTCAGCTGGTCTGACAGGTGGAGCCTCTAGTCCTCACTCGCACACATGGTCACTCCACTGACTTCCCCCCGTCCCTGTTCTAGGGTTTCCTTTTCTGTGACGCTCCCCCTACTTCTCATCACAGCATAGCTCAATCTACAGGACGGGGCAGGGAAGCCAACAGCTGCAGGGCCCTTTCTTTTGGTACCATCACAAACTTCATATTTTAGCTCTCATGCTCCACAACCCCAAAGAACACTTGAGGAATGCTGGCAATTCCACTTCCCACCTTGGGGGTCATGTGGATAACATGAAAAGTCCCAAGGAAGAGTACGCCGTAGGCCACAAGCACACTTCCTTGCCCCAGGTACAGCCAGTAGGCAACCTCTGCCCTGTGTGGCCTTACCTCAGGGTGAGGAGGAGGCACCTCTGCGCAGCTGCAGTAGCAGCACTATGTGAGCTACAAAACCACGTGCCCCAAATTCCAAGCACAGTGGCAAGAGAAGGCCCCGTCTGGTGGTGGCCAGGGAGACCACGAGGAGGTAGGAACTCGGCGGGCCACTGATGGATGGGTAGGAGGAACCAGAGAAAGATTCCGAGTAAGGGTGTGCTCCTTACACCTGGGAGCACAGGTGTAAAGTGCTAAAAAACAAGGGGAACATGAGAGAAATCACAGGGATTGACACAGACGGGGGAAGGGAGGCAGAGGCAGGTGAAGGAGGAAAATAAGAGCCTTTGAATGTCAAGAATAACAAGCAGGGTTTCCCCCACAGGAAGCAGAAAGTTGTAGAAGATTCTGAGCAGATATTAGGAAATTAAAAGTGAAGCTCAAGAGGGATTTCTGGCGTTTCTGGGCAGGCAGAACCCCAGGAGGGCACGGCACTGATCCCGGCCCAGCCTGGGAAACTGGCTGGAGCAGAAGGGATGCTCTGCAGGACAAACGTGGAGCACAGGCAGAGTGGAGACAGGAGGGCACCTGGCGGGACTGGGGAGGAGCTGGCACTCTGCTGCACTCCCTCCCGCTGAGGACGAGGCAACAGTGTGGCTGCACACAGCGTGCCCCAGAGCACATTTGTTTAGGATGAGTGAGAAACGGGGCTGGTGATTCAGAGAGACCTGCAGGTGGAAGATGTGGAAGCTCTGAGTGTGCGGAGGTGGAAACTGGATCCACAAGCACGGCAGAAGGGGAAGAAGCTGCTGGAGTGTGGAAGAGGAGCCAGGGGAGACAGCCCTGGGGAAAGGGGCCCTTGGGGTTAACCAGGGCAGCACGTGGAGAGCAAAGGTGGAGGAGGCCCCCCACGCATGCTGACACTTGATCACTGCTGGCCTTCAAATGGAGACGGATGTCAACATGGAGGGAGCAGAGGTCAGGGCACAGAGGGGACAGAGGGTCAGAATCAGCAAAGGTAAAGCCTTTTTACGAGAAACAGAGAGAAATGGCCGCAGAGAGATGCAGACAGGACCTGTTCACACTATTCAGGCCTCGCTGGAGGTGGAGACCTGTGTCTGCGGACAGGCAGTGACCGAACCTCTGACACAGTTAAGAAGTAAGTTGTGCAGAACTGGGGAATTGCATTACCAGAGTCAACATACGCTAAGAAGGCAAAAGAAATCTAGAACTGTTGTTTCCACTTTTCTGTATTTTTGAAATTTTTCATAATAAAATGTGAGGGGGAGAAAACATCTATTTCAAATAAATAGTTCTTTTCAAAATCAACAATTCTGAGTGCCCAGACTGAACACCCAATCTTCACAATGACAAGAAGCGCGAGGATCTGGAGGTGCTCCCAGTGTGTGTCCAGAGCTCCATGGGAGGTGGAGGAGGAGGCTCACCTGAGTCTTAGAGTCCGGCCTCAGCCAGGGGAGGACCCCAGAGCGCCGGAGCTCCGCCATCCGGGCGTTGAGTCTGTGAGCGAGGATGATGGTGAGGGGCATGCACTCTTCTGTCTCATCGGTGGCATAGCCGAACATCAAACCCTGTGGGAGGAGAGAGCCCGAGAGCAACACTGCTCTAGACATCAGGACAACTTCTTTCAAATCTAAAACTTCATGGCACTCCAACGTGAATCAGGTGCTTCGTGTGTGCCACATGTGCACCCGTCACTGTGGAGGGGAAGACGTGGGCCCTGACCCTAATGCTCTGGGAGGGGGAGACAAGCCCCAATCGGGCGTCAGTGACCACAGCTTTCCACAACCCAGCCATGCCCTCGAGTCACTGCCCTGAAGCAAAGGTGTCCATCCCTCTCCAGGCATGTACCTCCCCGGCGCTCCTGCTAGGATGAGGGGTCTACCCCACATAGGATTAACCCATTACTCATGAACTTCCCTACCTAGCTCCTCAACACAGGTCGGAGTCAAGGCCGAGACAGACTATCCCACACTCACTGCTCAGCTACCTGGTCTCCAGCACCGACGTCCTCTTCATTTCTGTCTAGATGGACACACTGAGCAATATCCGGGGACTGCTGCTCCAAAGCCACCAGCACGTTGCAGGTCTTGAAGTCAAAGCCTAGGCAGACGGGAGGGCAGGCCCGAGTGGGGACACGTGTCAGCAGAGGGCTGCGAGCTTTCTGGTGGACTGCTCAGTTCCTAACATGGCACGTAGCTTCAGGCTGGGTGGGTTCTAACTAGCTGGGATCTGTCTGGGCCCAGAGCCAAGGCTCAGAACGGGGAAGACCATGTATCTTCCCACACCATCATGTGGAACTCTTTAGTCAAAGAAAAGCCGCCACAGTGCATTTTTCTATACTAAATTATACCTTGCTTAAAAATTCATATCCTACACAGAACTGCAGTGTAAAACCCAGACAACAACCACAGCTGCTCTGAGTGAAGAGCTGGCGGGTGCCTCACGGCCCTGCCCCTCAGCATCTCCCAGGGGCACCTCCCAAAGTCAGTGTACTGGGTGAAAACCAAGGGCCCTTCCAACACCGCCACCTAGGAGCCCAGGTGTGTGCCTGCGCCAAGTATTCACAGACTGAATGAAGAGTGCACACAAACTCCCCGGAGAGACGCCCAGGGCCAGAGTCCTTGGATCCCGAGATGTGCACAGGGCCTGGAGCAAGACAGAAGAGCCACACCTCTGAGGCCGAGGTCCCGTCTGCCTGTCCCCCAGCTCACACACAGGTGGAGCGGGTCCTTCCCAGGCAGGCACAGCAGGCAGGGCTGTCAGGAGGTCTTGGCTGGCAGCAGCCCAGCCCAGGGAGCCGCAGGAAGGAACTGCTGTGCACAGATGGCTTGTTCTTCTTCCTGTGAGTCCTCACAGCCCTGCTGGACGCAGCTGCGGGGACTGCGTGAATGAGGAGCAAAACACGTAGGCGCCCACCACCAGGTCACGAATTAGTGACAAGCTGACTGTCACCCTCTTTCCAATCTATTCCCCTACCCATGCTGCCAGAATGGGCTTACAAAACAAACAAATCCAGATCAAATCTATCGTTGATGTACATGCTTCAGTGGGCACCTACTGCCAAAGGAAGTAAGACTAAAACTCCTCAGTTTCACCCCACACCTCCCAGCTGAACTTCAGCCAACATGAGCTGGGGTTTAGCCTTAAAACACGGCAGACTTTCCCACCTCCACTAGGACCCTCTGCCTAGAATGCTCCTCCCTTCCCCACACACCCAAATCTGACAAGCTCTCCGGTAACGTCCGCAGACCCGCTGCAGCTCATCATTGCACGCTGTCCATCGACTCACCGCGGGCACTTCCCCTCATATCATTTAATGCCAGGCAGTGCCCCCAATCCAGGAGCACCAGATCACCTCTGTCCTTTGCAGCCTCCTGTTCCCAGTGAATGTTTTTGAATGCACAAACCAACGAACAACCTTTAGAGAGCTGCCAAGGACTCACCAACTGTGCATTAAACAACTCTTCATTTTACCTAATCACTCACTGTCTAAATAATGAATCTTCTCAGCAATGAAAATCAACCAAGGGCTCCAAGTGACCTGGAAGACGGACTTGAGGAGACTAAGGGCTTGGGAAGGGCAGCGGGCCCAGCAGCACTGTAGCACAGGGCAGTGAGGAGCGGTGAGCCCGAGGCCCGGCTGCTGCGGCCTTTGCACTGCGTGGGGCGCCAGCTGGGGCAGACACGCCGACAGTCTGGCACCATGCGCCAACAGCAGGGCTGGGCTCTCATGGCTCCCTCTCTAGGGGGCATTACCTCCTAGGAAATTTCCCTGCCGCCTAACACAGAACAAGGCTTGCTCCTGAATAAAGTCTAAACGTACGTCACCAAGCCGACTCTCCAGGCAGAACAGGTAAAGGCCCTGCATGGTAACGGGTCAGGAAGCTGCTGCTCTGGGATGAGGGTTTCCTCTAGAAATACCCCATGTGCCGACTGGGAGAATTACCACGTACTCACTGTTCTCTTCCCAGTGATTCTTGATATACCTCCAAAACTTCCATGTGCTCAACTGAGTCCTCTGGGTGAGTCAGAAGGCGGCTGCCCGGAGCTCCTGTGTGTCTGTGCCTCACGCAGCAAGACACTCTCTCACTTACAAAGGTGTGGGGCATCATCCCCGCCTGCCCTGATCCACAAAGATGCCACAAGTCTCCCGGAAAAACCAGGAAGTGGAATGTCAGCGTACACAAGCCCTCAGCATCTGGCCTCACGTCCTTCGATGCCCCTCCAGGCTGAGCCGCTTGCTGGCCTGCCTGGTCTCAGATGGTGGGATCTGCTTCAGGGCCCTCAGTTCTTTGCAGCTCTCGTCCCTGCCTGATCACGGAGCTCCTCCTCAAGCCCTGCCAGGGCCCGTGCCCTTTCCCAGGGTGTTAGGCTCCCACATTCCTGGCCCTGGAGCCCACCTGGGCCAGCCTATCTCCTTCACCTGCTATCAGGACCAGCTCTGGACCAAGTCCTCTTTTTCTTTGTCTGAATGGGGAGCAGCATAGTTCAGCAGAAAGCACAGGAGTCCCAAACAGGGCAGCCACTTAATGACTGTGTCACCTTATACACACTATTGACATCTCTAAGCCTCGATTCCCTCATCTGCATCAGAAATACAGCAGACCTCCTCAATCAGTTAGAGACCAGCACCAGCATCTGGCAGATAACACGCGCCAAGCAGAGGGCAGCCCCTTTTACTCAGTGCTTCTTTCTCTTCCAAAGATCCAAGAAGGCAGGACCTTAAACAAGACCAAAGTCAACAACCAATGGTCACGGGCTGGTTCAACTGGGCACCATCACGTAGGCTGCCATACTGTTGCCAGAGATTTTGACCTGTGGACCCTCACAGGCCAGTCTAAGAATGTTTTTCCTCCTGGTGCTATTTGCACTTCCAGAAGACCGAGAGCCTCAGATCTGACTCAGCGTGTGGGGCTCCCTCAGCAGAGACCAACAGGTACTTCAGATGCAGGGCCCTGCCCTCACCCTTGGCAGAGTCGTCATAGCCAATGTGCTTGATGGTGTCCCTCACCACCTGCTGGTAGTCCACCATGGCCACGGAGCTGATCTCCCCGCACAGCAGCACCATGCCCGTCTTACACACCGTCTCTGCAAGGGAAGGAGGAAAGTCGGTGGCCATGTGCCAGCAGACACCTAGACCTCTCACAGTGCTGATAAAGAGACCCACACGGAAGCTTACAAGGAACGGACTTTAGAAAGAAAATAATAAGGCTAATAAAAAGAGTAAATCCCAGCACGGTTGCTAACCATCTGCAAATGCTGCCTGAAGAACTAGCTTTGGAAAGAATTGGTCACACCTGAGCTTCCCACCCAGCACTTACTGCTTGTGCGGTCTTGAACAACTTACTTAGCCTAAGTCTGTTTTCTCAACTGTTAGATGAAGATAAGAAGACTGCTGTGTGGATTGAAGTGAGACAATGGTGGTCTGCAGATATCAGAAAGAATGCAGTCGACATAGGTGAGGCCTCTCCCACCCCCTTATTGCTAACTCCACATGGAGTTAGTTAGGGAGTGGGATCCTGAGCGAAGGACCAAGGCAGGCCAACCTTCTCTCCAGCTATTTACAAGCACCTCAGGGTGAATGCCTTCAGAGGGGCACGGTCCCTGTGTGCTCAAGACAGGGGCTAGGGTGGCCCTGGAGAGGGAAGGATTGGTCTGCGCAGCAGACAGGACAGGATACTGACTGTGAGGAGACTGCGGCTCTGGTCTCCATGCTGGGCACACTTGCCCTGTGACCTTGGTCAAGGCCCTGATTCGGCTGCACCCATGATGCCCCTCAGTAAAGTGAGAGGGCTAGACCTAACCACCTCTGGGCCCTCCAGGCTTCAACACAGGCAAAGGCTTTAAGCTCAGTCCACTCAGGTCTCCAGCAGGAAAGAAGGGGGCATGTCTTACCGCAGGCCACCTTGGCATTGGGGTCTTGCTTGAGGTGGGCATCCAGCACTGCGTCACTGATCTGGTCACAGATCTTATCTGGACATGAATGAACAGGTATTAAGAATCACAGAAATATTAGCTATAACATACTGAAATGTTAAAATAATTAGATATTTTGTCAGTTTACATATGAAATCTACCTAAGGGGACACTTTTTTTAAAATATAAGAAATTAGAAAATTTTGCCATTTTATTTCTTCCCACTTCTGTCTAATTTTAGATGATGTATATTATATAAACTCATAGAGTTCCCTAAAAAAAAGAAATATATTCCAAAACCAGTTCTAAGTGTCTACAGCAATTCGCACACACACACACAAAACACACATACTCTACTAACTAAAAAGTCTCTCACTCCTCAACAAATTTCCTTTAATCCTAATGTCTAGAAAAGTCCTAGAAATAAATGTTAAAACAGCTAATAACGTCAGTAAGATTAGGTGCCAAGATGTGAAATCAGACGGGACAAACAATGCACTGCACCACAGGTTCCACAGGATGCAAGGCACCGTGTGTGGAGCACCATGCCCAACGCCGTGACTCCACCTGTAAGAACTCTATGACAGAACCTCTGCATGTCATTGCTGTTTTGCAGAACATTTCCATAAGCAGCTCTCAGATCCTCCCCATGGCCACTCAGCCACCTGAAGGCCGGACGTTCTATGAGTCATTTTCCCTCCTCAGTCATGGTGGGACGGCAAGAGCTCAACATGAGCTGGCACTGGATCGTACTCTTCGGCTATTTGCCTTGAATGTTGTACATGGTTGAGCATGCAGAGCACCAAATGGCACCGTGGACAAATTCACTCTTGCTTTTGTATGTGAACTGTAAACTGTCAATGTCCACAAATTCAGAAACAAAAGTGATCTACTGACACATACTACATCTTGTTTGGTGTTCAAAATACTCACAGAGTCTACTCTTAATAGATTAATGAGCTTTTTCCAGCTTTATCGAGATATAATTGATCTGCGAAAAATCTGCGTATAATTAATATATACAATTTGGTGAGTTTGGACATATGTATACATTCCTGTTACTATTACCACAATCAAGGTAATACACACATCCATCACCTCCGAAAGTGTCTTTGTGTCCCTTATATTTTTTAAGTTTTTAAATTAAGAATCCAGACCCAGAATCAAGCAGTTCTGCTCTCAAAGCATATATTAGGTTCTATAATGAAAAATGTTAATCTGCCATTAAAGGTGAATTCTCTAATCTTTCCTTCAGAAATGGCTACTAAACATATGTTTGTGTTTTCCTATCTGTCCTCCCCCCAGTGGCAGATCCCGGCTGTAAACCTACGCTTCTCTGAGTCCAGAGCCTCTGCACACCCACCCACGACAGCCTTTGCAGCTCAAATATCCACTCTGGGCCGAGCCATCAGGACTCCCAGGACACGCTGACTGTGGAGGACTCTGCTTGTTTCAAGGACGTGGGGCACATGTTCCCAGTGCACACAGGGAAACGGGATGAGGGATATTAGGAATAAAGCTGGAGTGGAGCAAGGGTATTAGGATAGCTCCACAGACTGAGATAATGCCTAAGGAGGCCCTTTCTGAACTGTTTCTGTAGGCTTTCAAAATTTCTATCAATATCACTTAGTAGCCTTAAGATAGCCAAAAGCTGGTTTTCTTGGAAGTTGAAAAAGCAGCATTAACTTTATCTTTCTGGTGGAGAGGAATTCAGCACTGGAACAACAAGCAGAAAGTCACCAAGCCTTAGAAGAAAGTCAAAGGGGATCAGACAGACTGAGGGTCTGCCATCAATAGACACAACCACCACCTGATTGGCTGGAATTTTCACTCTCTGTCCATTGAATACATTGCTGTGTGAATGATGGGACCGCTGGCCACCACGTGCCAAAGCACCACTTCCTGCAGGTGGAGCAAATCCTACATATATGGCCTTCTCCTAACCCATATATGATCTTCATAAGCCAGGGAGCTGTCCAGAATGTGTCAGACATAGCAATGGATCTGATTACAAGTACTGTAAACCTAGAAACTTTATCTATAAAGTTATGCACAATGAAAGAGGCTATTTACATTGAAATGAGCTAAGTCACACATAAAACTCAGTTTAATCCAAGGCATCTCAACAGCGGCACTATGGACATTTGGGGCCAGAAAATTCTTCGTTGCAAGGGGATGGTCTTGTGCATTCAGGATGTTTAGGTGCATGCCTGGCCTCTATCCACTAAATGCCAGTATCACATCCCCTCCCCACATAGTTGTGACAACAAAAAATGTTTCCAGACATTACAAAATGCCCTTGGGGAAAAGGGGCAAAATCGCCCCCAGCTGAGAATCACTGGCTAAAGCATATGGAAGGAGTGGCACTGATATGTCTAAAGCTGAGTTACAAGGTTTGCAAGTTAAATCTCTTTGAGAAAGAACAAGGATGAGGAAGATGGAAAACAAAGTAGACTTGGTGATAAGTTACCAAAAACTTCAAATACCCAAATGAATTTTGAAGAAGTAGTTAAATACATAAATCAGTATGTCTAGCCCCTAGGGTTCTCCTTGCAACAGTGGCTTTCAAAGTGTGGTTCGCACACCAGCAGCATCAGCATCTCCCGGGAATTTATTAAAAATGTAAATTCTTGAGCCTCACCCAAGACCTACTACATCAGAAACTCTGGGGGTGGGGCCCAGCATTCTGCATTTTAACAAGCCTGCTGGGTGATGCTGACACTCCCTGAAGTTTGAGAACCTCTGTCCTAGAACTCTGTCCTCGAGGCTCTGATCACGGTCTTCGTTGTCACCACAGAGGCCTCTCTCATTTCCCCATTTCTCAAGTCCACCTACCTTTCAGGGACCAAAACAATGCTTGACTTTCCTTGCTCTTCAGGAAGTCACCTGCACTCCTCTGAGATCATGTATCTGAGATTTCCAGGAGCAGAGACCTATCTCAGCGCCTACTAGGATGCGCTGCACCCATTTCTAACCTGCATGTGCTTTACACGTAGGACTTAGGGACCCACAGTCTGCAGGGCACATTCTCTGTTGACTTGAGTTGCTCATTGACAATAGAGTAAAGCTTTACTCAAAAACATATATACATAAAGTTTATATCTGACAGTGCATTTTGTACGTATAAGATGTTTAGCTAGCCAACCGCGCACTCTCTGTCGCAGCCCCACCACACTGAGAGGCTGGTGCCGGGCAGCGGCAGGGACCTTTGGCCTCATTCCCTTACAGTTTATCATTTGCATATTGAGTGACTGTTCTACAAAACTTCAAATCAATAGAATAAAAAATACTTCATATTGTTCCTCCAGAGATCCCTTATAATAACTAACACAAATTGCTTTTAAGACCTCTAGTTGGGGGTGGCCCAGTGGCACAGTGGTTAAGTGTGCACGCTCCACTTCGGCAGCCCAGGGTTAGCAGGTTCGGATCCCAGGCACGCACTGACGCGCCGCTTGTCCAGCCATGCTCTGGCGGCGAACCATATAAAGTAGAGGAAGATGGGCACGGATGTTAGCCCAGGGCCAGTCTTCCTCAGCAAAAAGAGGAGGATTGGCAACGGGTGTTAGCTCAGGGCTGGTCTTCCTCACAAAAAAAAAAAAAAGACCTCTAGTAAAAGTGACTCCCTCAATACAGGCTGCCATCGGTCCAGGACAACCTACTTACCTGGGTGTCCCTCTCCTACAGACTCTGATGTGAACATGAAGCCTCCTTCTGCATTTAGAGAATGGTCACACAAGCCATCCACCGGTCCATTCATCTTTTCACACTTCTCCACTCTGCTTCTTCAAGGTAACAATTTTAATGCTGTCACTTTGCCTGACTTTTCTTTCTTTCAACCCAACAGGCTTGCCTTTGGCAGAGCCACTGGGATCACTTCTGCCTAACTGCCTGTGAGCACTCGAAAGTAAGGTGAGGATGGGTGAGAAGGGAGGGAGTGAACATGGATGTGTCACTCCCTCCAACTGGTCAGAGCTTGCTCCTCAGTGACTCCTATATATGGAAAAGTGAAAGTGCCTGAATAATCATGTGAGCAGGTTGGAGGAGTCCATTTCCTGGGAGGGGAGTCTTCTTACCTTGAGGAATTTCAGTCCTTAGCTCTGATTTCCCAAGCCCTAAGCACCTGGTCAATGTGTGGTGAAGAAGGCGACACAGACTCTGCAGAACTGAAGCTCCTCTGGGACTCTGCTTCAGCTCTGCAGCTACTCTCCACATTGCTCCAAGGTTACCAGCCCACGCTGGTGGGGAGGGGACTGTGGCTACTCAGGAATAATAACAGGCGGCAAGAACTCTTTCCCAGAGAGACGGTTTGGGCTAAGATTGCAGCACAGGCAGCGTTGGCTGTTGCTGCTCCCACGCCTCCCCCTCACCTCGTCTGGACAGGGCTCATCCCCTTCTTCTACCTTCTCAGAGCAAGAGCAGCACCTGTATTCTGAGTCAGCTTGGATATTACACAACAGATTCATTTTAGAGGAAAAGATTTTGAGTCCACATTTTTCTGCGAATAGAAATCACCTAAACTGTCAACTTCTCCAAGATGCTGGTAGTCACATTAACAAGCAAGACGTTAAAAAAGTATCTGGACACGTTACAAAGAATGTTTTTTGGAAATGGACTCTTAAGAGACAGATTTATTCCAGGGAAATTATGAGTCCAGTTTACCAAGCTTCCAGATGATCAGGTAAATATCTACATATTCAGTCCTACACACTTGATAAAGATCCTGCTCACGTAATCCTCCATTATTTTTGCTTTGACCAAGAAGAGAAGTAGACAGGATTATATCATTAACCAATTCATGCTCTAAATGACAGCATCTCTCACTTTAGTCTCACCCCCTCTCAAATTTAGCTGCATCCTCAGGCCCCAGGAACAACAGGGAATTGAGATCACAGAGAATGAGAACGGATGGAGAAACTGGTTCCCACTAGAATGCGATAAAAAGTAATCCACCAAAACTTCGTGCATCAAAGACTGAACTGTGGGAAGCAAAACGCAGGATGCAATAGCCCCAGCTAACACCTCTGCTGACCAAATCCCTGCTGTACTGATAGTCTGAGCCTGTAAATGAGTATTTTCTGGTGCTCCAAATCTCATGTTTTGTCATCTGGTCAGCAGTGGCAGCACTATCTCTCCAGGGAATTAAAACTATATTGAAGTGACATTTAACATACACTTGTTTACTCAGAGGCATTTAACAAAGAGAGAGCTGGAATGCTCAGGCACAACACTGCTGAAAGTTCAGAGAAGAAAAGGCCACTGGGAAGGGATGGAAAAATGAGGAATCAAATAGGGACTTTACATGACGTAGCCTTGTCCTTGTCAGCACACAGGAATCCTCCTGTTTGCACTTAAAATATTTCAACATCGCTGTCCCTTTGTAAATTTCTTCTGGGTACACTGGCTTCTAACCTGGAGGCAATATGAGCTAATGTTTAACGTGAACTGCAGCCCTAGGGAACCCTAGCAGTTAGAACCATAGCCACTATGTTCTAAATTTGCATTAAGAGAAGATCAAGTTCAAGTATCAAGTACTCATCAAGGTTCCTAGAGCAGCAAGAAGTCAGGAAACAAAGCAGCCTAACTGCCCTCTGAACTCCACGATAAACAATAGCATGGTGGGGTGGAGAGGCACCAAGGGGGAGGCCCTGTTCAGAGAACTGGCACCTTCAGAAACGTGCAGGAGGCTTCTGCAGCCTGGACACAAGTTCAGAGTGATGGAAGGATCTGGAAGTACCCATCTCACATATGAGTCTGAAATGACATCCCTCCAAACACGAGGCCACCTTGTCTTCTCCCAGCAGATCAGTGTTACCAGGAAGCACCCAAGGCACGGGGGCTGGGAGCAGGCTTCAGGGCTGGAGCCCCGAGTGCCTCCAACCTACTCTACCCCCAGGGGCAGGCTTCCTCACCTCTCTGGCCGCTGCTTCCTCATGGCTAAAGCAGGTTAGATAATCACCCACCTCACAGCATTGTCGTGGGAACTAAATGAGATCATTCAGGTATGTGAGTATTAAGCATAGTGCTGGCACACAGTAAGAGTTTAATGAATGTTACCTAACACTGTTTTACTAAGCACCTTCTATGCACATATACATGATTTTTTTCTAAACAAAAATAGGTCATCGTATACACATAATTCGTATCTTGCTTTTTTTTTCCACAATATACTATGGTCCTCTTTTCACATCTCTACGTACGGATAGACCTTATTTTTCAGTACTTGAACAGTATCCCACAATAAGGATACACCACAAATCTCTGAAGCATTCATTCCGCAACAGCTGAATACTCGCAACTTTCCAACTTCTCTAACTGTTTTGTGTCACTAACACGTTGCAGTGAAGATACTGCTTCATTGGCATGCTTTGAACAAGGCCCCGGCAATGCTGAACTAGCCAAAAGATTTCCTTTTTGTAATAAATGTTACCAGTTAGATGAAAGAAACAGCACTTCAACCAAGAGTTACAGCAGTAGCTTCAATCTGCCCCCTCAATCTGCCCCCTTCAGAAAGAATTGGCAGATCTTGACAAAGGGGTAATTACTTGCAGAGCTGAACCCACAAGGACTTCATAGCCCTAATTTGCCATCATGAACTCAAATTAACGCATCCTTTACGCACAGACTGTCCCATTCTCCCTTACACATGAATTGCCCTAATGCCCCCACAACCCCGACTGATTACCCAAGTCCAATTCAACGTGCCAAAGGCCCACAGCTGATCTCACTTCCAAGCAGCAACCCTCAGCTCTGAATCTTCACTGACAAGCCTCTGAAGAAACTTGGCATTAGAGACAAATCTCACTTCCAGTCAGATTTACCGCTGATGAATCTCTGGATGTAAAATACCAGACAGAGGACCACGTTTCCCGTGAGCAGTGTGTGTAAGCCACACTGGCCAGTTTCACAAAGGAGCTCTGAGGGTACCTGATCCCAGGTAACACCACGAGGCAGCAGAACTAGCGGAAGGCACCCGGCCTGATGGTGCCCTTCGCCGGCCCCTGCACTGCCATGCCCAGGAGCTGTGCCACAGGCAGAAGAAAGGGCAGTCTTGATGACCTAAAACTCTGGATGCAGAAGTGGAGTGTCATCCACCTCTTAAATGCTGTTTAAGTGCAAACATTTATAAACTTTGGTGAGAAGTTTCCCTAACTTAAATGGCATAATAATCACATGGAATATTTTCAAGAAGATTTATTTCTTTTGCCTTCATTAATTTAATTGAAGCATAAACTTTTCCCACATATATCACCCTAGAACATGAACAACTTATTTATGAGAGAAAGATACAACTGATTCAGACAGTAGAGTTTTAAAATTTTAGTTAATTTCAGCAATATGTGACCTTCATTCAGTAAAAAGTCCAAATAAGCATCCCACCTACAACAGCTATTCTGAAAGGAAGAAAGAAATGTGGAAAGACTTCAGGGAAAAGGTAGAACGTGAGCTGAACCCCAAAGGAATCACAGGATTTTAAAAGTCAACAGGGAGAAAGGGAGGCTCAGATGGTGGTGGGCGGGGTGGTACTTCACCAGCCAAGAAGCCACCGCATTAGTCAGAGCTGGTGCAGAGGAGTGTGGCTCCTACTCCACTGGGGGTTACTGGGCAGGGAGGGAGAGGGCTGGACAGCCAGGCAAGCCAGAACCTGGGACTCAGAGCAGCAAGTAGCTCCACATAGAGCAACACAATGGGAGTTTCCATCTGACAGCAAAATGCAAGCTAGATTGGAGGAAGAAGATTCCAAAATCAGAGAGAAAAGTTAAAACTCCTGCTTTGATCCAGGAGTAACCTGAAGAGGAACAGACTCTGAGACATTCATATAATATAATGCAAATCCATTTATGCATTGTCATTGTTCAAAACTATTCTTATTAGAATCATCCCTTCCCCCAAACACATATACCCCAACTTCCACCAAGGCTTGAAATCTTGAGAGGTTATTTCAATTTCTGATCCTTTAACATCCAAATCAAATTTCCCACAAAGACTGTCATCAATTCTTTCTCAGGGGTGTCTTGGAATTCTCCCCCTCCACTTCCATGTCCATCTCAGCACTCATCCTTCTCATCTGACATTTGAGTTAGGAACCAGCTGGGCCCACCCTCCCACACCAACACATCCTTCAAAGGTTGGTACCATGCTGCACATATAAGGTTCCTTAAAACTCCCTGCTGATTGGTACCTAGAAAAATGACCAATCTTTTATGCTAACTAGCCCTCATTTAAGGCATGCAAACAAAATGTTTACACAGTGAAAGCTAAATCAATCTCCCAGATACTCCCACTCTGGAATACCATTCAGCAGACAAAACATCAACCATTGTCACACACAAAGATATGAATGAACTGAAGCAATATAATATACAGTGAAAAGGGGGCCAAAATATAATATACAACATAATACTCTTTTATAAAGATGGAAACAAGATTTTTTTTTTTTTGGTGAGGAAGATCAGCCCTGAGCTAACATCCATGGCAATCCTCCTCTTTTTGCTGAGGAAGACTGGCCCTGAGCTAACATCCGTGCCTATCTTCCTCGGCTTTATGTGGGAAGCCGCCACAGCATGACCTGACAAGTGGTGCATCGGTACGCGCCCGGGATCTGAAACCGGGCCGCCAGCAGCAGGGCGCATGCACTTAACCACTACACCAGGGGGCCGGCCCCAGAAACAAGATTTTTAAAATGTACTTTTTTAATGTAAGACCTGAAACCATGAAACTTCTAGCAGAAAACACAGGAAGTACGCTCTTCGACATCGGTCTTAGCAACATATTTTCAAGTACCACATCTGACCGGGCAAGGGAAACAACAGAAAAAAATAAACAAATGGGGCTACATCAAACTGAAAAGCTTCTGCACAGCACAGGAAACCATCAACAAAACAAAAAGACAAC